AGACAACGGTAACTAAGCAACCTTTTTATTTCACTCATTACGCATGCGTACGATGAAACTCTAGAGTTAGCGACTGGTCTGACCAATCGTTAAATATCCAAGGCAACAACGAGACAATAACGAGCGAGAGAACTAGCGACTGCTTCGTGAAACGGCACTCTAACTAGCGAGAGGCTAACTACCGATCGCTAACTAACTACTGCTTTGTGAAACCGGCCCCAGGTACTCTAAAAAGAAATGGAATAATTACCATGTGTCGGCATAAGGTGACGTAACTGACACGGCGTGCGACGTTTCAAGTGTCGTCACGCCGTGTAGATAAGCAGCTAACAAAACATTTTCAAACCTCCTGACGATCGGGCATACCTTCTGGGTATGCCCGTGAAACTCGGAGTCGGGATTATTACGTCTCTTGTTTATTTATTTATTTATTTATTTATTTATTTTAATTGTGCATAAATGCTCCGGACTGTTGAGCACTCTGTACCACATTCAAGCTTGTTATATTATATTTTTCGAGACAGCGACTCTTCACGTATAAGCCCACGTGTACCTAGATGATAGATATATGAGGGCAGTGATTCATTCTTCCGTGCGTCATGTACAACTATTTTGCAATTTTGGGGTTTCCGGTTTTGGAGTTGGCCTTTATTATTTCTACGAATCTAAAGCAATATTGGTGTTTCCCGAATTTACTTTCATATACCACATGTGTTGTATTTCTCACCCCCGTGTAGTAAAAGCAATAAACAATACACATGTCTTTGTTGTGACAGTGCACATGCGTGTGTCTGTCAGTGCTATGCGAACATGCGCATGATCAGCGAGTCTAGCATTGAATGTTTGTGTAACAGAGCCTCTGGTGGTCATTTGGAAATGCGTGGGTGTGCACGCGCGTGTGCGTATGTCATTATCTGCTTCAATGTGCGTCCGTCTTTCATTTCCGTATCATTTGCTTTGCACCCACGTCTGTATTTGTGTGTACGTGTGGGTGCATGAGAACAGTTGCGCGTGTGTGTGTATAATATATAGTGTGTACGTGTGTGTGTGTGTGTGTTTGCGTGGTTGCACATTATTGTTACTACAACATAACAGATAACAGTACTTTTGACGGGGTGGAGTGTGGTGACCCTGACACACCTCCACCAAAAATAAGGTACATAAAGTGACGTTGAATTGTTCAATTTAAATGCTTACTGAAGGTTGATAAAGTTCAGTGACGGGAGGGGAAATTTGACAAATTTGAACATACAATATTTATACAACCTCATACAACGAAGAAATCACGCTAATAAAACCAATGCAAAAATCATGAACATAACTAAAAAACAAAACATCAATTACTACATTGGTAAAAGCATTGCGTCTTTATTCTATTCAATTGACAAGAGAGAAGACCACTTAGCGGACACACACGCACTTAAAATTCAATACATTATGTAATGACATATATCAACAATGTCATTGGCACATTGGGAATACATCTATGACGTCAGAAGAACTAATGCAATCCGATAGATGGCGTAGAGGTCGGTCCTTTCCATTTTACAACTTGCCCTTGTATTTGAAATCTTCAGCAGGGATGTGGTTGCAAAGCCTACGGAGGAAATACACAAGTGAGTGCAAGTAAAATGACTGCCCATCTGCTGACATTATTTCTTTGTGGTCAAAAACAGAACTGAATACTTTTTGTGTAGTTTAAATACAAAAATTGCAGTAACCACCTTGAACGGAAATAAATGTGACATACATGTCCTGATCATCAATGACAAAATTTTGATGATTATTATTATTATTATTATTATTATTATTATTATTATTAGTACAACACTGAGTGAGTTTTACTCGGACGCTACCTGGTTTTATCTGACTTTACCTCATTAAAGAGGAACCCAATATGTAATCAATAAATTGGTTGAGGAAAGATACGCTTTTAATTGTTTTTTCACTTGTACACAAATTTGTGTTCTTTTCACTTTTCTGTTTGTCATCAAGGTGATTGCGGGATTGGTAGGCTTCTTTTCCAAAATTTCTACCAACAGTTTGGACTAATCAAAATTAACGGTTAACTAACCTTGTCGACCGCGTTGACTCAGTTTAGGTAAATTTCTTAGTACAAATGCCAGATTTCCACGTTGTCAACTTCCAAAATGGTGCCAAACAGAAAAGTGTACCATACGATGGTAAATGGAGCTTACCATGCCATGCCGTCCTTGAGTTGCTTCTGGGACACTGGCGCATTCCAACCCCTCAACGTGTCCATGAAACCATTATGGAGATCAGTATGCTCCTTGGTGCCTGCGAACTTGGCTCTTTTCATCTGACCCTGTACAAAAATCAGAAATAATCATTTCCAATGTGGCAAATGTGCTTTTATGTTAACCTAGTATACTTTGTAAAAGATAAAGAAAAGTCGATTTTACTGTAGAAATTGCATGACTAAAAAATGAAAGGTTTTGATTGGATACATCAAATTTGATGTTTTTTCAAAGGATAAGTTGTACTTTACTATGAGCAACAAGATATTTTGGTCCAGAAATGATTTTGAAAAATTAACGTTGACAGACATATTTTAATTTTCATGAAAGATGATCCTCACACTTTGGAAAATACAGCACAATACGTCAGCATTAGTGAATGATTACTACTTGCATATAGGAATGCCATTTCATGTCTAATAAAGACCTTACCTGCTCGTCATGGAAATGAAGCGAGAAAACCTCAATAGCAGCGTTGAGTTGCGTTTGAGTGTTGAACTCGGAGAGAGCAAACAGGCCATTGAAGAGCGTTCTGTGCTCACTGTCAATGTTGTCATACTGCAAGTGATTAAAAGAAAGTGAAAATGTTTAAAGTGATTGAAAACAAATGCTTAAAACATCAAAATAATTTAAAACGGGGGGGGGGGGGGTTAAAGGCTGTTCAAAATATTCCATGATCATATTTTCGCAATAGTCCTCCAAGTCTTATGTTGCATATTTGTATGCTACGTTACTTATTCATCCAAAACATTGTTTTAAGCCGTTTTGTCATGCCATTTCTTACCTTTGTTACAATGATATGCATTATTCCATTTTTTTCACTTCCGTGACTTGGTTATCATTTAATATTCAATGGGAAATGTATGTAAAGTAATGGTATTGTAGGCAAAATTAAGACATATTCAGTCTTTGACACATTTGTGGTAATTTTTACCATACCACACCGAAGGTGAACTGAAGATATATTTACTTTTCGAAACAAACTATATTTTAGTAAGAGTTTGCAACCGTCGCTTTCTTTTATTTGTGTAGAACGTACACAAAGTTTTAGCGAAACAACGTAAGGTTTTTGTGAAACTCGCAGCCAATTCCACACTGAAATTGAGCAAAATTAGGCTATTTTCCAATAATTCAACATACTTTTAACCAAAAGTGTTCAGTCGTCTCGTTATTTGTGAAAACTGCACACCATGTTTTGTACTCACAGAGGTGGAGAACTCTGGGCTCCAGGCGAAAGGTGCTGGGATCTTCATGATTTTCCGGACGTTTGACCAACTGCTAACTGATATTTCAGCGTCTGTGGAGATGACATCCCAGACCCACGGTTTATATACACCCACGACTCAAGCACAGATGTCGTAATCAGACCAAAAAGCTACGACTCATTTAAAGTGATGAACAGCTGAATGTGCTTTGCCATGGGCTCTTCAGGTCATCAAAGGTTCACTTGACCATTATACGCATTGCACGTGCGTTTTGGCAAGTATGCGTGTCTTAAATTTGAATGCCAAATTAATAAAATATGTTTTTTTTTCTGCAAACATGCTGTATAGATTAACCTCGGCAATCGCTGGCGCGCAACACTGTTCGTTTCTTTAACATTAAAACATCGAAATATTTTAATTTTTGTCGAAATAATTGTCGACAGAAATAAGAAATCCAAAACGTCTGTGTTCGTTTTGAATCAGCCTACGTAAACTTCATCAAAATTGGAAGTGTTATAATTGTCATCACCATTAATTTGTAAATATTTTTATTGTCATCTTTTATTTTCAAAGTATTTTCAACTTACCTCACGAGGGCCACGGGACGTTTGAATTTATGAATTACCATGTTTTTACACTTATGAAATAAAATTCAATAAATAGATTAAAAATAAATATGACATCTTCACGATGCCATTTAATTTTTTTTTTAAATACACGGTTCCGTGCAAAACATTTTTATTCATACGAATGATTCATAAATTAGTTAGCTGATAGACAAAAAGCGCTAAAAAGATCAAGCGAAAAGGACCTAAAGAGACATGTCCACATCTAGCACAAGAGTATATTGTGTATTTTTTATTTATTTGATATAAGGAGTTTACGTCGTGGATACAAAATATCCATTTTATTTACGTAGGCTCAATTTGCAAACATGGTCAATGGACTCTTTTTCCGGTTCGCCCACAATTTCAAAAACTGACTTGAAAATGCAGTTGCACGTAGTGTTACACATAACTGAAAAAAATGGCATTTCGCATCAATGATAGGCAAATAAATCGGGCTTAAACTAAATTAATTTAAGAGGACTGTTCGAACCAATATACCGTTGCCTTTACCTTTGAGCTAACCTGTCTCAATTGTGATTCACGTAAACATACTGTCATTTTTTCCGTGATAAAAACGTACTTTTTTCTTATATTTGCATCACGTGATATCGTCGAGACCACGTGGTAAAGGCAGTAAAGTTTACATTCAAAGTTCATCCCGGGGTAGAGCACAGCTGACAGGCTCATCAGCCTCATCATCAACGAAACGCACGTGAAACAATTAAGTTACAAAACTGAACGCGTGGTCAATAATTACCACGAGGAAGAGAGTGTTTCGCGGGTCTTTGCTGCTGGTTGAATGATTTCCCACATGTGGGTTGCATTGATTGTCCGCGTGTTGTCGTCTGCCGGTGACGCCACTCGACCTTGAGGAACAGGTATAAAAGGTGCGTCGGTATGGCATAATCCACACAGACGCTGACCACACTGTTACCTGTTGCCTGAAGCCGACAGAGACGTCTTATCCTACCGCCATGGCAAAAATCCCAGCACCTTTCGAATGGAGCGAGGAGTTCAAGACCGGCGTATGTATCAAATATTATATTTTTTTTTTCAAAAAAAGGAAATTCTCTCTGTAGTTTCTTGTCCATTTATTGATTCATTCACTCATTCGTTGTTTACTCTGCGTTCATAATGTGGTTGGGGACCGCCTTCAGTGTGTTAGCGATAAGGAATCAAAGAGAGCATTCCCAGCAGAGTTGATCCGCGAACTAACTGATCTGTCGATCAAATATTGCCGACACGCTTGTAAGCTTGCAGAATAATCCCCCAATAGTCACTGAATAGATTCCCCGCGGGGATTACGAGGCTAGCTTTCAAGTGGGTCGGACGTTTTTACCCACGGATCTGTTAGACCAGGCCTCTGTTGTGGATGAGGCCAAAAGGCCTATGAAAGGCCGCTGTGACTTGCAGCGTAAGGTTTGAGGTCCCACTAGCCAGTTACCAGAATCACATAATTTACGTAGCGATGTTTAATGTAACCATTTTCTTTATCAAATACAGCGCTAACTTAGTTTACGTAAAAATGATCAGAATACACACGTATGACCGTATCTTTTATTTTATCAGTAGTATGATCTGTGTTCTTGGCGAATATCCCTTTTTCACGCAGTTGCTGAGAAGATCGAGGGGGCATTGAAATAGATCTGGGTCTTTTTATTGTCCGTAAAGGACGGCAACAGCGAAATAGTTTAAATCACATACAGACACGAGAAACCAAAACCTATTCTATCAAATGTACTTACATATTTATTTTTGTTTACATTTGCTGTTGTAGGTTAGGAGTGGCTGCATTTCTGTTTGTAAACATAATATTTAGTCATGGTAACATTGCTAATTCGAAATGAATTAGCCACAAACAAAATAGAATAGAATAGAAAAGTAACGAATAGAGATAGTGATCAGTTGTCTTTCACTTCATCTGTTTTTTTTTTTTTTTTTTTTTTCAGTATGAAAGCCTTGACAACGAACACAGAACCCTCTTCAATAGCCTGTTTGCCCTCTCCGAGTTCAACACTCGTGACCAGCTGGAAGCTTGCAAGGAGTGCTTTGTGATGCATTTCCGTGATGAGCAGGTAAGAGCATTTGTGACCACCGACTAACTGACTGTGTGACTGATTGAGGTTTGGCCTCCTAAATACACACTGACTCTCTTACTGACTAACTGACCGACTAAATGACTGAGTGCGGACAGATTAACTGACGACAGATTGACTAACTGTAATGTAGAAGTAATAGTGGTAGTAGTAGTAGTAGTAGGTGTAACCATAGTACAGAAGAATGTATGTTCAAAGTGTCCAGTGTAAAAAGAGATATTGAAAAGTCTGCGTTTTTCGTCAATTGTAGGGGCAAATGCTGCGTGCCAACTACGTTCACATGGATGAACATACTGCCATTCACGAATCATTTCTGGAGCAGTTGGGCAAGTGGAAGGCACCCGTTGCCCAAGGTGATATAGAAAGTGGAATGAAATGGTAAGTCTGTATAGTTTTCTCTCTCTCTCTCTCTCTCTCTCTCACACACACACACACACTCACACACACACACACACACACGTGCATTTACATGCCTTTAAAGGCATGCATTGTGCGATATTCGTGTAGCAAAACATATATAAACTTTTTTGGGGGGATTCAAACTGTTGATATAATCAACGCCGATTTAAGAGTAGGCTTAGGCTGCGTTCACATGAAAAATCTATTTTCTAAAAATCTAAAAATCTATTTGCGGTATATTGTGACGGCGTAATTACTGGCAGCGCCGAGAATTAATTACAGCTTTGGAAGTAACTGGCTCGCGCTGCCCGTAATTACGCCGTGGGGTATTCAGGGCACAGACCGTAATCACAAGATACCGAAAATAGATTTTAGATTTTTAGAAAATAGATTTTTCATGTGAACGCAGCCTTATACCTCCCATTCCACAACATGGGGGTACTCTTTTAATTTAATTCAGTCTTAGTATTTCAAATGGAAATTTCAAACCACTGAAAGGAGACAATAGTGTGTAAATATTTTTCTAAACGGCTAGATTGTTGTGTTGACCTAAAACTATCTACTTGTTAAATATTTTTTGTAACATTTTGGAAAGTGACTCGTATATCTGCACTAAAATGATACGACAATGTTACCGAAGTTCCCCACTGGTATAAATAAAATGTCTTATCTACAAAAGCTTACCTGCAACTATCCTCCTATTTTAGGCTCACCCATCACATCCCAACGGAAGACTTCAAGTACAAGAACAAATTGTAAATGGAGCGAACGGAACAACACGCCATCTATCGGACTGTGCAGATATTATATGTACGAACACGTGGAAATAATCAGTCTTAAATTGGTTGCTTCGGTACGAGTCAATCATGTAAAGTACCATGGCTTTAGACCAATATGCGCTTTGCCATTTGCTAATGATTTGGAAAAAAAAATAAATAGCTTTCATGTGACCCAATTATTTTCTTGTTTATTTTCTATATTTGGATCAGTTCGAGCATACGCAAGCTTTATTGTAACATATTAATCTCAATTGCAAAATAACGGCATGTATGTACTGCCAGTGCCCAATACACATTAAAGCACAACAGTGTATCAACTTTTCTAGTTGTTCTCATTATATTGTTTGATGAACGCATGAAGACGTAATCTGTTGGTACATCAATCGCCGATTATTTATATTTCTATATCGTTAAGGTTCACTGTGTAGGGTTTTCCCGCGAAAAAGTCATACTTGACGAATTATCCTGGTGTTAAACAGCATTTTTTCCGACAAACCTGCATTCGCTTATCATTCCCCGACAGTCGACATAACTCTGCTACAATCTGGAAAAATGAAGAAGGTTTTTACCCGCGCCTTTTTTCCAAATCCAACCATTCCTTTAGCACTGACTTCTTGTCCCTATTGCACAAAGGTACCTAAGGGTGCATTCCCATAGATTTTAGATCGATCTATCCCCGTGGGGAGTCTCACTACATTACTGTCAGATAATCCGGCTTAAATGTCCTTCCCGCCTACTACAAGCTGTAAGGGGGTAATTAACTTTTGTGCCCGCTCGGCTGACAGCTATTTAGCGTGAACCCCCAGGGAGTTAGGTCGATTTAGTTGGATCGATCTCATCTCTGGGAATGGGGTCTAAGCCAGCTTCCCTGACTGTGAACTTGGTTACCAACATTACATGATCACAAGCACACATCTTGCCCTATCAGGAACAGTATTGCAGCATCCTCATTGAAATTCTCGTCAACTAAGCCAGGGAATTGACTTAAGTTATATGTGAAACCGGGGCCTATAGCTAGACAAAACTGTACTAGTAACAAGATAGCTGGCGGCGATGTTTGTCACGAGAAGGGAAATTTGATCTTTTGCGACATCAGTTTGCGTCATTTATTTGTAAAATGTGATCAAAACGCATCCTATTTCCTCAGATAATTTCAACTGGCGGTTTATGTAATGAACCTGTGTTAAAGGCTTCCTCTTTGTCATTTTAGGCATATGCAGGGATATTTCATAATTTGTACCTTTTACATGGGATATATCAGATGCAAGTGTATAATTACAAATGTTCATCGCATTCTAAGTAAAACTAGACAAGGAACAATTGACCATCAGCTAAAACTCCCCTCCCAATAAATAAAAAAGTTACATAGATGAAATATTTGGGCATAAAAAAAACGGATGGAGCAATTTGCATACGTACGTGAAAATATTCTTAACAAAAACGTTCCGCATGGGCAAGCGTAAAGATAATGTCACACACAATGCAAAGACTCACAGTACGTACGGTTAACTTACGACCTGCTGTATGTACGAGTGAATGCCAATGTTGTTATTTAAGTTTGCCCTTGGATAATTCCACTAAAAGTAACGACCGCACATCACGCTATATAAAAACGTATGGGTCCGGATAAACAACTGTTACACTGTGTCCTTAATCGAGAATAAAAAAATATAAACGTGTATGACGTCGGGCAGATGTTTTTCTACAAAATGTCATAATTTGTGCAGAGATAAAACGCATTTTTAATACTGTATACCTGTGTTTTCTCTAAAAAATCTTTTCTCTATAAAACCAGATTATAAATCATTATTTCACAGCTGTCTCAGACAATCTTTTCTCTACCTTTATGAATATCATATCGGTTTGTTATTCCATCAGTGAAAGGAGGAAAAAAAATTCAATTTATACAGCGAACAGATCCATTGAGAGAACCCTGTTAATGCCACTGTGTGCAGTGTAAATAGTGCATTAAAATACTGTATACACCTGACGCGCCTTTGTCTAACTACAGTTGTTATAAAAGTCCAGACTAAAATCTACCCATAGTATGAAAAAATATTCAATAGGCAAAGAATATTTCTCTGTGAACATAAATTATTTCAGTCAGTGAACATGGTGGTTGCCTTGGAAGGGGCGGATCCGGGGGGGGGGTCTTAAAGGGGTCCAATTTAGCACTCTTTGGCTGATCTCTCAAGTCTATGAGTATTATTTATTTATTTTATTGATTATATATATTTCATTTTAAAAGAAAACGCTCACTTAAAATCTGACAATTATAGACTTATGAATTATTTTAGACCGCAGATATATCGCAGTGATGATAATTAATTCGGGGGGGGGGAGGTGCGTCAGTATCAAACCCCTTATAGAAATCTCTAGATCCGCCCTGGTAAGCCACCTCTTTAAAAAGAAAATCTATGTTAATGTGCGGTTGACATGAAATGCGACCTCTTATGACAGTGTAAACCAGTTCATTGCTATACACTGACAAGGATAGGCTGCGGTAATGGATATGTATTTTCCGCTTTTTTTTCTTTTTTCATGAAGAAACTGAGTCATTCTTGCGGCATAACAATTGATAATCTGGCCTTAACCTTGGATTTCACAGATAAAAATCGCAAACACGAACTCGAGGAGAAACGAGGAAGTGAAAAGGTAGGGTTTTGTTAGGTGACGTTATGTTGTAGCACACTAAGGTATTCTAATTATACAGCGAGTAGCATCAATGAAACAATATACATATCAGGGATCTATGGAGTTAATATACCATATGAGGGGTTAACCTCTTTCTTATTTATGACAGAAGAATATGAATTTGATTTCGTGTTGAATTAAAATCATGTTATATTCAGAGGTTTGGTTTGGGGTAAGGGGTGGATTTAATATCCCTTCCGATCTATACCCAAATTATAACAGCAGGCAACACCCTATAATATAGCAACAGGCACGATAAAATGGCTTAACATTGCTGTCGATTGAAAGGGAATCAATACGACGTATCGCCGTCACCTATGTGAAGTCTCGAATTCCAGTGTTTTTATTGTCAGTGAAGCATAAGCAATGCCTTGAATATAAATACCAATACTGTTACGTGATTTATTTACTCAGGCGTCATGAGACGTAATGGTCTCTTTTGCTGTGCGCAATGTTCACTGGCCCTTGATATTCATTCGCCCTATACTTATGTCATACATCCATAATTCCGTTTCTGCAACCGTGACGCCAAGTATTTAGTATTATTATTACTTACATTATTGATGTCATATATAAACACGTTCTGTATTGCCATATATAGACAAGAAAACACCTGTCGCTGCATATTAATAATACATGTATATAGGTTGGTTTTGTGGTAATTCATTCAACATCTGTATACAACGTTTTGAAAGCATGTTCATACTGGGGTTTATTTAACCGTAAAAAAAAACAATATGACGTCATCAAACGGTCACATTACACAAGAGCCCATTCACGTCTCTGGTGCATGAGAAATGTCGTATCACATGAAATTTGGTTGAATTTTAATGGGTAAGTTTTTCAAAAATTTAAATCTGAAGTTTCCCCTGCTTTTTAACATGTGATGTATAGACTATGCGTGAAGCCGTGTAATCGGTGTCAGTTCGCGATGCTTTAAGCTTGTCTCTTAGAGCGAATTCAGAACAGCTGACTATCAGATTAACGGATCAAATATGGCCGAGCCACTTGAATGCTTGTTGCGTAATTCCCGCGAGGAATCTATCCAGTGTCTAATTGGGAATTAAGCTGCAAGGGCTTTTTAGTCGGTCGCCATATTTGATCCGCGGATCTGTAAGTTTGCTGTTCTGAACGTGCTCATAGTTACTTACATCAACCTTGGTCGCCTAGCCTCAACTTTGTTAGCTGCACTCACACTGAGAACCATAAGGAGCACCCATTGTTTTTTGTTTAATAAGGATGTATCAAAGCAGGCAAACGGACTAAGTTTACACACTTTAGCACCTTTATGTATTGTAATATGGTATTCTACGTTTGTACCTCCGCACACAAAGTATGATATAATCAAAATAAAAAAATAAATCTACTTATCTCTTGATTAAAGGTCAACTGAAGCTAACAGGGAGAAATAAGAAAGAAAGAAAAAATACAAAAGAAACACCATAACAATATTGAAAAAAACAAAAAAGATGGCCAAGCACATAATCATAGTCCACGGCTACCTGCTGAGCGGTTCAGGGTCTAACATCTACTCCTGTAACCTGACAATGCAATGGAAGAAACAGGGTCATGCCGTCACCGTGTTCTGCCAGGACCCGCAGGCTGGAACCTACGACTGGGTGGACGAGTTCTTTACCTCCAAGGTGAATATTTTTTTTTTTTAAATTTACTTCAATTATAGATTGATTTTATGTTTTAAGATATTACATTATGCAGGGGCGGATCCAGGATTATTAGGAGGGGGGTCCGCGGATGCGAAGCCGAACCTTCCCCCCTTGGCTTTGGTACTAGAGGGCGAATGGTGTCCCATGGTACGGTTTAGAACTATGGTTCAGCTGGTCAATATTTTGATTTCAAGAAGGGACCATTGGTGTGATTTTTTTCAGAAATCGAGGGGGGGCTCGGGACCCCTTGGCACCCGTCCTAAATCCGCCACTGAGAACTTCCGCCCAATTTCAGTATGCATATTGAACAAAACTAGTGCTGGATGGGCTTAAAGTACCTTTGTAGTGTGTTTATTACATTTTATTTAGTGGACATCATCACAGTGTCAAGTCTTATTGGCCATTGCTAATCTATGTACTTATACGTGGATATTTCACCTCTGTTAGTGCCAACAACAAGCTCCCCGTTACTGTTGATATCAACTGACACGGCAAGCTCAATTTTGTCTCTCTCTGTCAAAATGTAACGTAGAAATCTTCCGTCTGAACCAAGCACAACCACCCTGTTATTGCACCAGACAGCTATGAATATGTGTCCAAACTTATCTATGCACACTCCCTCTGGGAAACTCAGTTGTCCGTCTCGACTCCCACTCTGTCCTTTTGTTCCATATTGGAACATGACGTCACCCTGGGGTGTCACTGCAAACACACAGTGTGTACTAACGTCGCTGACTATGACTGCATTGATGCCGTGGTGGTACGCACAGCGCAGTGTGCCTATAGTGCACACTGGGATAGCGATTCTGTTAACAAGTTGAAAACATTTCATGTCGTACACACAGACGCACTGTGCACCACTATCACACACGTACACCTTACTCTCTGTACGGTCCATAGTGACACCCCAGGGGTCAGACATATCACCCTGACCAAAACACCGTATAACCTGACCTGATGTTGCATACAGTCTACAGCACCTATCGTCACATGTGACCACGAATCTATCGTTACTGACTGTAGTGATACACCTCGCCCTTCTCTTTATACTGATCTCATGATTACATTGACCTGCACTGGAGAATACAGACATTGTTTTACTACAGGATATGCCACCATGTAAAACTAAAATACAACTGTCATCTGTGCACTGGATATCCCACAGGCCACGCTTAACATTAAAACATACATTCCGCTCTGCCGTACCAAGCCATGCGACTTTCTGAAATTCCATCAGCTCGGGATAGTACGCTGTCTTTTCTTTCAAACTTCCAAAATGTGCTTCCAAGTGACCCCGGAATGTTTTGGCCGTAATAGACCCCGTTTTGATGGACAGCGGCTTTGGCTCAGGAATTTCAGGAAACTGTAGCACAAGGTCCATATTTGATTCTCCGGGTGAAAATGTGACATCGGTGATCTTGATATAAAAGACTGGTTCAAATGTCTCTAACTCCTGAATTCTAGTTTGGATTTTTTTAGAGTGGGTCATCACCTCGATGTCAGAACCGGTGTCTGTGAGCTGCTGAGCGAAATCACGAATGCTCTGAATGGAAATCTTGTTCATTTCTAGCTTATCTTTTTCGGCTGTTAAAGTCTTCACCTGCGTGGAGGTGAGTGCCTTAACTTCTGCCGTCATTTTGTTGCTTTTGTCATTTATAACTCTTTGCATTTCGATGTAACCGAACTGTACTTTTGTTACGTACGTTTCCAAATGGTGTTTCACACTTGTTAAATACTCGTCAGTCTGTTGACGTACGTCTTTCTCTACTTGTTGATAATAAGTGCTGAGTTCTCTTTCAATGGTTTTACTATTTTCCTTTATCTCTTTGGTCAGAGCCAATTTTTGAGAATCCACCAAAAAAAGAACCTTTGTCTGATTTTCTGCCAGCTTCTCTTCCGTTCTTACAATGGCTTTCTCCGCCTTTTCACAGCGAGACAGTTTTGCACTTGGGAGACATTTAAGTTTTTCTTGTATTAACTCCCTTTGAACCTTCGCCACATCTCCAATTTTTACAAAGTCGTGTTTACTGTGAGTTTCCAAAATACAATCTCTACATGCCACGGTGTCATCCTCTTCACAATAGAATGTCAACAACTCGCCGTCGTGTTTTTTGCAGTATTGAGATTTATCAAAAACGTAATGTAACTGGTCTCGTATGTTAGCTGGGTTAACTGAGAAGTCGCCTTGTGACCGAGGCACGAGGTGATGTCCAGTTAATGCAGATGCTGTTATGCAATTCACGGCATGTAGCACACAGTTGGTTGGTTTTGGGACAACCTTGGCACAGCAAAGAGGCCTCTTTATGCTTACAAGTCTCACAAAGTCTCCCCCCTGGCGCTTTCTGGTCTTTCATGAAGTCTGTGACCTTTCTTAGGAAGAAGTATTTCACGAGAGTTTCTAACCCACCTGGTGGTACGGGGGCCTCTTGGCGACACACAGGACAGGAGAACTTGTTCTGGACACCATTTTTGGCTACATGGTCAGCAATGCATTCCAGGCAGAATGTGTGGTAACAGGGGAGCACTCTCGGGTCTTTATATTCCCCCTGACATATATGACACGTTAACAAGTTCTCACTGAAGACGTTTTTATTCTCTTTCGAAGCCACTGCCATGGTATAGGCGCCCAGAATGGGCACAGCTCCCCTCCCCCTACACCGTTGCGTACGCTTATTAAATCATTTAATAGACCAACTATACTGCTTCAAATTTGTCAACAATCAGGTGATGTTGTCAATAATGAGAACGGTGTCAAAGTCTACATAGTCAGAAACGCCCAACCCTGCTATTATATACAAATGCAATGACGCATATTAATAAACACTGAAGTATTGTTTGATAAATTTATCTATACACATCACAGTCAGTGCGATATCAGAGTACAGCATGATTTATCAGGAATGTGCTGCTGGCAGCGGTGCTTCGTGTGTGTGTGTGTGTGTGTGTGTGTGTTGTGGGGGGGGGGGTGCCACTCTTACATGGCCTGTTAAAAGTCCTTATTCAAGTCAAATATGATTTTGGTGTTTTGGAAGGCAAATGGTGCCATTTGACACGGTTTAAAAGTATTCTTCAGCTTGTAAAAATTCTAATTCCAATAGGGGAGTATTTTCAGAAACCGAATTGGAGCCCAGCCTCCCCCCCCCCTTTGACTCCCCTGCTAAATCCTCCACTGCTTCCATCAAACGTGATATCAGGGCTCAAGGTTGGTTGTTCCATCCTCATAACATTGTGTTTCAAAAAAAAAAAAAAAAAAAAAAAAAAAGGAACAGTTATGTGCGTTATCATGATAAAACCTGCAATCACCTCTGAAGTTACCTCTTGCAAATGGAGTGAGATATCAGTTGAAAATGTAATGGTAAAGGATCTTTAATAAATGAAACACCATTCATTTAAATATTGCCTTTCTATGTCATTAAGTGAAGCGATTCATCAATAATAAAAAAATAATTTTTATTCCTGTCTTCGTGCTTCGATGGTTGGTCAAGCCACCAGGTATCGAATCGTATTTGACTTGATGACAAGCAAAATAAGGATCTTTAACAAGTCCTGTAAGAGTGGCACAACACCCCCCCCCCCACACACACACACACA